TATATATATATATATATATATATATATATATATATATATATATATATATATATATATATATATAACCTCCTCTTTCTTCTTACATAAAAGTCGAGTGATCTATTAGATGAAACATATATTGGTGAAACTTTATAGTTTTTAGTGACATTGCCTAAAAAAGTTGATGATTTATGAAGCAAATTGTATTTTGTCATGTAGTAAGTAATGAGTCAATTTTAAATTCATCGATCAGACATCTGGCCTTCACCAGAAAAACATGGAGAACCATTGCAGACAACGGATGCTCCCTCATCCAATTCATATTGACTTTTAAAATACTATTATTAGCTATGTGTTCACACTAACCTATCTAGTGTAGCGTATTCACAAAATAAAAGAATTTTTTTTCGTTTAATTGGTTAAAGAATAGATTTAAGTTTAGTTTTATTTCTCCGTTGAATTAGTGTGTTTCTTGCTGCTATGCATGTAATCTGTAACTTTTTTTGTGCTAGGTTCTTGTTAGTTTTAACGCATTCGTTATAAAATTTTACCCATTTTAATTAATATATAAAATCACCCATTTTGACTCTTGACCAAATGTCATATGACCTAACACTATTAGGGAGGAGAGAGTCATTCTCTCCTAACCCACTCAACCCATTGCCACCTCAGCGCCACATCAGCTTTTCTCTATTCTTTCTTTTCCAACCTTTCCGACCCACAACATATGGAAACCATATCTTTCCCAATTCACTCAACCCATTTAATTTTTAATTTTAAAATAAATACAAACTAATAAAATATATATATATATATATATATATATATATATATATATATATATATATATATATATTAATTTGTATATTTTTGTCTAAATAAAATATGGGCCGAATGGATTGCATGGGCTGAATGCATATGTGTTCCTGATTATACTAAACCTAAAATCACAATATATATTAGTTCGAAAGAATAGCACACTTTTTCTCTTCAGATTTAGGGTTTCTATTTCTTCTCCTTCTTCAGTGAAATATTGTAAATCGTTTGATACTAGAGAAAGTGTTGAGACCAGAGGGAAAGATTCACGGGTTAGTGAACCCGTTCCAGCTTCATCATTCTTGCATCCCGCCGGAGAAGGTACCACAAACCGACGGTACCGTCGGTACCGCCCCAAGCCGATCTATAACCCGTCGACGACTCCGTTCGGCCTTAAGATGTGTATGAAATTATCTTTAGCATGACGCTGCCATTATTAATAAATATGTATTTGCTTTTTTGCTTATTTCCTCACCAAAACTTTTGTGATGGATTAAATTTTAAATTCTATACTATCTACAAAATGGCAAAAAGAATGTGATGTGCGATTCTCTTAGTTGTTGTGTATCTTTGTTTCTCAAGATAATAAGGCATCGTTATAATTTTTTATGTTGTTGTTCATATTTGCTTCTCAATATAAGGGGCGGCTCAATTTGAAGTCTCTAAACGAAAAAAAAAATTAGGGTTTTTTTTTTTTTTTTATTATACTTAACGTTATAAATTATTCTTTTTATCTGTGCTTGGACCGACAATAATAAACTAAAAAGTTTATAAATGGCAGAGTTAATTTTTTTTTATTATGTATATGTTTTGTAAATATATTTAGGACATTAAGTTAATTTTTCTAGTTTTTTTAGATACAAATTCTTTAATAAAATTTTCATAAGTTAAGTTTTCTAGCCTTTTTAAATGCAAATTCTTTAATAAAATTGTCATAATCAATTTATTTTACTAAATGTTTTTCAATTGACAAAATAACTAATTCATTTAAGCTTTCTTGTGAAATTTAAATCTTAAATAACTTTTTAACAATTTTAATTTAGAAAAACTTATTTCTGCAGAGGCAACGGTTACAAAAATAGTGAACATAATCTTATAGACAACCTATGCATTTGGAAAAGAACTATTGAGTTTAATGTAAATGAAACATCCCAAAAATATAGACCAAAAATTTTCGTTTTAAATCAATTATAAAAACCATCAATATTATCCATCATATAAAAATCATAGTCATATATCTCAAAAACATCATCATATCTATCATAGTATCAAAATCATATATCATAAATCAGAGTGAAATCCTCCCAGGCTAAAAATAGTGGTGTGTGTCATCCAGTCATCTCGAGCTCTTCCCCTGTCTAACGGAAGTATCTGAAACCAAAATTGAAAACTGTAAGCACGAAGCTTAGTGAGTCTCCCCAACTACCACATACCATACATAACACATAAACATATCTTAGGTCCCACCCCTGCTACATCGAGTCAAGCTTGGCATCAGCTTTCCCGGCATCGGACCCCATCCGGCATCGAACCCTATTCCGCATCGGGCCCCGCCCGACATCGAGCCTCGCCCGACATCGAGCAAATCTCAGAATACATAAGAGCATAATCAGTAATACACATAAACCTAAGCACATATCATTAACACTTAAACATACCTCGGGCCCCGCCCGGCATCGGACCGTAATCCGGTAACATACTAACATTCCTCGGGACCGCCCCGGCATCATACCGAAGTCCGGAAACATACAATACAAACACATGCAAGAATCACAAAGACATCAAGTATACAAACATTCCTCGGGACCGCCCCGACATCGGATCGAAATCCGGAAAAATATGAACCGACATCGGGCCCCGCCCGGCATCGGACCATATTCTGATACTATTACTAGCTATACGGGCCGGCCTTGGTGCCTTAGACTCGTTCCTACTGGAGGAAACTCACCTCGAATGCTAGTTGTGAAATCTCGTGTGAGGAATCTCTGGCGGCTGCTCCAACGAATCCTCGGCTATCAATTTCACAACAACACTTAAATCAAAAACCTGATAACTCCTCTTAGGGTAAAATGACCATTTTACCCCTGGTCAAAGTCAACATCCTGGTCAAAGTCAAAGTCAAGGTCAACTCCCAGTCAACCCAACTCGTCGAGTTATCTCCTAACTCGGCGAGTTCTTGTACTACTCATACTCGTGGTCAAGCGAGTCAACTTGTCGAGTCCCTTCCCAGACTTGTCGAGTCCCTTACTAGACTCGCCGAGTTCCCTTGTCTGTTTGGACTATCTTAATGGATTAAGCCCCTACACTTCAGATCCAAGCTTCATACTTCACATAAACCCTGAAAATGTCCTTTTAAGGGTAAATTTTCTGACTTTACCCCTTAATACCCCTTTCTTAAAGGGTTTAGCTCAAACCCTAATTCCTTGGGTCCTAGAACTTGGTCCTTAAGCCATCCATTCACCAAACTAAGGCTTACAACTCCAGATCTAATCTCCTAACACTACTTGGACACGTAAAGTTCCAACCTTTCTCCACATGCATGGCCTTTTGGGGCTAAAAAGGCCAATATAACACTCTATAGCTTGCATGGGGGCTCCAATGGCATAAAATTTGCACCTTTATGTCATAACAACCCCTCTAGGTCCTAGATCTGGAAGATTATCCACTTGGGTCGTCCATTCTCCAAAGGTTATCATTCTTGGGCCAAAATCTTCATAAAAGGGGAAGGAATAAATATAATAAACTAGAGGTCAAGATAGAAACTTGATTACCAGAAAATGTAGCCAAAGAAGTGTAGTTTCTTGATCTACTCTCTTCCTCTTGAGCCTTCTAACTCCTTCTTCTTCTTCAAGCTTCAAGGACACAAAAGATTGCTTACAAATGGCCCACACACTCACAAGATGCTCTAGGGTTTCGTGGATTAGGGTTTGGGACAAGGAGGCTGTAAATGAGGCAAAGGGGTGGGGATTAAGATGCTTATATAGGGTGCAAAACCCCGAAATTAGGGTTTCATTCTGACCGGTCTACTCTTCGAGTCGAGGGCTCTTGACTCGTCGAGTAGATAGCTTAAACCCCGCGCATAATCTGCCTTCTACTCGACGAGTTAGGGTCACCAACTCGTCGAGTCCCTCCCTTAAAATGAATAAATACATAAGTTAAATGCATACCAGGAACCAGACGTTAAGTATATTAATAATTGTATCATATTCAAAATGTACAATATGTTTTAAAAATTTTAGTTCATGAAATAAA